CTCATATCCTCTAACAAAGGGCCCCATTTATTTCCTTCACAGTATTTATCACAATGTAAAAGAAAAAAAATTTTTTTTTCTTCAGTCTTGCTCTGTTGCTCACATCAGAGTGCAGTGGCACAATCTTGGCTCACTGCAGCCTCCGGCTCCCAGTTTCAAGCGATTCTCATGCCTCAGTCTCTCGAGTAGCTGAGACTACAGGCATGTACCACCTTGCCCAGCTAATTTTTTGTATTTTTAGTAGAGACCGGGTTTCACCGTATTGGTCAGGATGGTCTCGAACGCCTGAGCTCAAGTGATCCGCCTGCCTCGTCCTCCCAAAGTTCTAGGATTACAGGTGTGAGCCACCATGCCCACAATTTTTAAGATAATATTTTTGGTTACATATTTATTGAGTCCATCGCTACACTATAAATTCCATGAGTGTTGAAACATTATCTGTTCAGTTTATTACCTAACACCTAGCATACCTGTAATATTTATTTATTGAATGAATGAATAAATAAATCCAAAAAAGTATCCACTGTGTGCTAGATGCACATAGAATTCCATATAGAACTTTAAGTTCCAAGCAGGTACTGGGCTGTCCTGCAGTATTTGCAGAACGCTATTTCCTCCACAGAATGCTAATCATATCTCATTCATCTGGCCAAACCTTTCCACTTCAGTTCATTCTCTCCAGATAGCTTTCCTTAGCCTGCCTGTCCTATGCTAACATAGTGCCATATACATAGAGCTTCTAACACTTTATTCCTACTCCTAGACTGTACACTCTGGAAGACTGAGATCATGACTGTATTGCTCACCATTTTACCCTAGTGCTGAGCACAGTACCTCGAAGATATTTTCTCATATAATCTTAAGTTATTCATTAAAATTTCACAAGAACCCTGTGGGGGGTAGGAAGTACTATTTCCATTTTATAGATGAGTAAAACGATTCATAAGCAGTTGAAATAACTGGCTTAAGGTTCTGTAGGTAGAAAGTGGCAAGGCCAGAATTCAAACCAACAAAGACTCCAAAGCCTATGCATTTTTTAAGCATTCCGAGATGTGTTCTGAAGGATTTCTGACAAAAGAGAAACAGGGTAATAAAAATAATTTTCTAAAGGCTTACCATGTACCAGCTTCTGTTATAAGTACTTTACATAAACTTACTCAAGTCCTGACAAAAACTCTATGAAATATGTATTATCTCCATTTCACAGATGAAAAAAAAAAAATGAAGCCTAGGAAGTTTAAGCAACTGGCCCAAGTTCCATAGCCACTACGTGGTGATGCCAGGACTTAATCCCAGATTGATTATACTTTATAGACCAGACCCAATGCCACCTGAAGTATTGCTAAAGATTAGTTACCCTGAATAAAAGTCTCCATATTACATGATTCACTTTTGAGTCACATCCACTACTCCAGTTGTTTTTATTAATTAAAAATTCATGTTTCGTGAATATACATCAATTTTCAGTCGTCTGGACTACTATTAAAAATATTCACATGGCCTTGGCCCAAGATGCTTTGGTAAATATACTCTGATGTCCACAAAAGCAATAAAATAAAAAGGGACATCATGATTGAAACTTCTTTAGGGTCAACTGCCTATAGGCCCACTTAACAAAAAGAAACAGCTTTAGATGCTTAGATAGTGGTCCTCTGTGTTTGGGGTCCTCATTCACTTTTTTAAAATTCCCCTAAGGAATTCTGCTTTTAACCAATGGAAAAGTTGGGTTGAAAATGTTGGCCTTCAACTGATGGATAATAAAAACAACACTCTTAGAAGAATGTAATAAGGGTCAAATTGGCCAGTATTCATAAATGCCTATCAGAGTTATCTTATTATTGAATACTCCTCTTCTCTCTCTAGGGTTCAGTTTCTTGCTCTGTAACATGAGTGGATTAAGCTAGATACTAAATCCTTCCTAATTCTAAAGACCAACAAAATAGAAATAATGGAATTAACATACAAGAACTTTGAAAGAGTTATTGTAAATATGCTCTATTATTTGAGGAGAATTAAGAAGCTAATGAGAACGGTAGTAGAAGATATTAAAAGATACCAAATGAGACATTTAAAACTGAAAATTATATTAACTGAAATTTAAAATTCACTGGATAGGCTTAACAGCAGATTAAACATTGTGGAACAAAAAATTAGTAAATATATAGTTATAGAAACCAAAATGAAACAGAATATAGACCGCCAACAACAAAAAAAAGAAAGAGCATCAGTGACCCGAGGGACTTTATCCAGCAGGCTAGCATCTCTGTAACTGGACTATCAGAAAGAGAGATGAGAATGTATGGGGCAGAAAACATACATGAATGAATCATTGCAAAAATTTTCAAATTTGGTGAAAACTATAAACCCACAAAACCATATCACCTTGGAATTAGAAAAATATAAATCTAAAAGATGGCCCAAAAAAGAAGAAAATAGAAACAAAGAAGACATGCGACAAATAGAAAACAAATAGTAAAATGGCGAACTCAAGCCCAAGTTTATCAATAATTATATTTGATGTAAGTGGTCTAATTACTATAATTAAAAGACAGAGATTGTGAGACTAGCTAAAGCAAGCCTCATCTATGTATGTTCATGTGAATTATATTTTTAAATATAGTCATATAAGTTAAAATGAAATAATAGAAAAAGATTTGCCATGTACATACAGATCATAAGAAAGCAAGGATAACTATATGTATTAATGATAAATGAAATAGTTTGTGGAACAAGGGATATCCATTGCCAGGGATAATGGAAGCCTTTCATGATAATAAGGGGGTAAATTATCAAGCAGTCAGAATAATTCTAGGTGTGTGTGTGTGCGTGTGTGTGCGTATTTAATAACAGAGTTTTAAAATACATGGAGCTAAAACTGATAGAACTGTAAGTAGGCAAATCCACAAATACTGTTGGAGATTGCAACATTCTTTTCTCAGTAATCAATAGAACAAGATGAAAACTTGAGTGACATTAACAACCAGCTTGACTTAATTGACTTGGAACTACACTGAACAACAGAATAATGCACTTTTTTGAGCATATGGAATATTCACTAAGGTTGGCCACACTCTTAGTAAAAACCAAATCCCAATAGATTAAAAGAATTGCAATTAAAACTTCTAGGCAAATTAGAAACTTGAAATTAAAAACTTCTAAGTAACATACATACTGAAAGGTGTTATTTGTATAAAATATGTAATAGAGATCCACTGATTTTGAGGTTGAAGATTATAACTTCCTTCCATCACCATTGTTTTAAAATGCTTTTTTCAAATAACATACTTTTAATTAAGATTTTATAATGAGCAAACGTTAAACATGGACTTATGAAAAAAATCTATATATTATCTGTTTTCAGTGTTAGAGTTCATGTGAAATTTTATTTTGCAGGGGAAAAGAGTGCTATTACTTAAAAATAAAGTTTAAAATCTCTGACTGATCAGAAAGATCCATGCCAATTGGTATATTATAAATTTGTTCTGTCTGATTATTGTCAACCATCAAGGGAATGAAAATACCAAAAAATAACAATAACAATCACACAAAGCACTGGTGACGGCTTTCACTGAACACTTACTAGGTAATAGGTAATAGGTATTGATCTAAGTACTTTCATGCATTTAATTTTTGTTCTTACTTTCCTCCCATTTTACAGGTAAGAAAATGAAGCTTGGAAAAATTAAATAACTTGCCTGAGATCAGACAGCTAGTAAATGCCAGTGCCAGAATTTGGACCTAATAAGATCTTTTCACCATGTAGCTTTTCACTATCAAAGTCAGTGTCAGACACACTGGCATTAGATACAAAGACCTCATGATTTCCTTCTTCAGCACTTTGTAAAGTATTTAATTGGTTCTATTTTGCCTTGACTTGAAATTTGCCTCTTCACTGGTCTGTCTTGTTTGATAAGTTCATCAAACATCAAGACTCTTTGTTCATTTTCAAAAAGGATTACAATGATAAGCTTTTATAATTAAGAATATCTCGGCGGAGATTTCCTTTACCACAGTTCTCTTGCTTTATCTTCTAATTATTAGAGATGAATTTTCTGATTTCAAAATTGTATTTCCTTTAAATACAAGTTACAGATTAGCTGCTTTTAAAAATGCTTTCCTCCCTTCTGAACTGTTACTTAAAGGAACTCTCACTTGCTCTAGTATTTAAAAGCACTAATGATTCAAAATTGCATCATCTATCAAGAATTATAATTAAATAATTCTATTTAACATCTTCAATGTTTGGGAGAAAGGGATTGCTTTAAAGCTATCCCAAAGGGGAAATAAAGGACTGCTTAGGCTCCACAAAATACTTAATATTAAGATACAAAAAAAAAAAAACAAAAAAAACTCATGAAGCTAGGTTGGAAATCTCAAGAAAATAGAATGGGTAAAATGCAATGTATATATGAAACTATATCACCTCCCCCTATTATCCCATAGCAAAAGATAAAGTCAGTTTTAGAATCAAATGACCCAGCATCTCTATAGTCCTTTGCCTCCCCCAAAGTGATTTTGAACACATTATCTAATTTTATCCTCCCCCAAAACTATGAGACAGGCACTCTTATGATGCTCTTTTACAGATAAGAAAGTTGGGGTTAAGTTAACTGTTCAGCACCACTCAGGAGAACTATCATTTATTAAGTGTCTACCATAAGCTGAGTACATTTTATATTCAGGATCTTATTTTATCTACATTAACTCTTATAGAAGAGGTATTATTATTCTCATTTTACAGCTAGGGAAACTAAGGATCAAACAGATTAAATGATTTACCCTGAATTACTCAGCTTCTAAGCATTAGAGCTGTGATTTACACGTAGGCCAATTTAGCACGGTCTTTTCACTGTCCCATCCTCCTCCACGGGAGTAGCAATAACATGAAAAGAGGTTATTTTCCATTCCAACACAGCCTCTGCTGCAAACATAAAAGTGTCTTAGTTCCCCAGCAGGCGATTCCTATGTGCAAGTTTTGCAGAGACATATGGCCCACTTACTGGTTCACCTTCTCCTGTGCAGTTACCCCAGGCTGACAAGTCATCAAAGACAAGATGAAGAAAACAACAGCAAACATCTCAGCCAGAAGCCACCGCGCTATATTACCTTGAAGGAATAAAACTATCTATTCAGGAAATTGGAGTAAAAGATGTCTACAGGCTGAGACCTGTAAGATCTATCTGATGTTAGAAACTCACCCCGATACACACAAATTTGCACAGAATTCAATTGATTCTCTTTCAAATGTGGTTAAATAGTAACCAGAGTATTGATTACCTAAATACTCTAAAAATGTTCCAGACACCAAAGGCCACTGCCCTTTAGACCTTTTGAAAAACAATATCCATGTGGTTAAGGAAAAGAAGATATTCAACCAACAACAGCTTAGCAAAGAGATCTTATTTTCAAACAGAGACAAAAACCAAACCATGATGCAGTTCTAGAATTCCCGCTCTTTTCTGGTATCTGTTGGAACTTCTGAGGTCAGATCAATCTATTTCACAAGACTGAAACAAGGCTAATATTGTCATATCAACTCAGACATAAAGCACTCAGAAAAATGTAGGAAATGCCAACAGTTACATGAAAGTTCTACTATATATTGCCAAACATCTAAATCCTGAAATATATGTGTAATTCAATGGACTTTCCACTTTTCATACAGACACTGGCTATCATCAAGATCCAGCATATCTGTTTCTTGAGGGGGCCAGATGTCTTAAATAGACATCTCCAGAAGCACTCTCTAGAATTATAATGTCAAATGTCAATAGAGCCACACATCTGGGCTAATGGTGCCATACCTGCATATAATCTCTTCCTCTCCAAGACATAAATTAAATTAAATTAAATTAAATTAAGAGATGGGGTGTCCTTTGTAGGGACATGGATGAAGCTGGAAACCATCATTCTCAGCAAACTATCGCAAGAACAGAAAACTAAACACCACATGTTCTCACTCATAGGTGGGAATTGAACAATGAGATCACTTGGACACAGGAAGGGGAACATCACACACCAGGTCCTATTGTGGGGAGGGTGGGGAGGGATAGCATTAGGAGATATACCTAATGTAAATGACGAGTTATTGGGTACAGCACAGCAACATGGCACATGTATATATATGTAACAAACCTGCACGTTGTGCACATGTACCCTAGAACTTAAAATATAATAATAATAAAAAAATAAAAATAAAAAAATAAAACTGCCAAGTCTGACATTTTGAAAACAAAAAACAAACAACAACAAAAAATTAATGGAGATGGATGGATAGATAGGTACGTAAATAGATGATGGATAGATACACAGACAATAATTGAATGCCTACTATGTGGCAGGCATTTCATGTGTCTTATTTAATTTTCATAGTAGGGATATGAGATAGAAATTATTAATTCCATGTAGATGGAATTAATGAAAATGAAGAAATGGAGGCCCAGAGAAAGTAACTAACTTGCCGAAAGTTGTACAGCTGTCTCAATATCTTTGGGAATATTTAGATTCTCTCATTAGCAGGACTGTCCAGTAGTATCATTACTGATCTCAAAGTTAGGGGAAATTTTAATGAATGACTAGTATGCTTAAGAAAATGTGTTTCTGATTTAAACGCGGAGATTTTTTTAAAGGCACCAAATTGTTATCATCTCCCTTTTCTCAGAGATGTTGATAAACTTGACAGAAGTAAATGTGGATTCTGGGTCCTGGCGAGTCCCTGGAGCCTGTGATTTCTATGTCTCTCTTTCTCCTACCTCTTTTCATTTGGACTTCTGGGTCCTCTTGGCCTCAGTTCTACGCTACTTTGAAAATCACACTTTCTTTTTGCTCCACAATATTCCAGCGTGACTAGCATTTCATTATGCTTTCACTGAAGATATGAAAGACAATGGGGGGTGTTCTATCTGGGCACCCTGGGGCCAGCTCATGATGGCACATCTGGCAGCCACCTCTTTCTACCAACCTCCCGTCCTTTCTCATCCATAGTCAAAATTCCTGACGCAGATCCGCAGAGTCCCCTGGGAAGTGTAGCTCAGGTTCCCCGACTCCTCCTACAGCTTTTCTCATGAGGAGAAGACTTCCCCTACAACCGTGTTCTCCACCGGGGGTGATTTTGCCCTCAGGGGATATTTGACAATGTTCAGAGATATTTATGTTATCACAACCTAGGGGGTTGTGCTACTGGCAGCTAGTGGATAAAGGCCAGGGATGCTGCCACACGTCCTACAATGCCCAGGACAGCCCCGACAACAAAAAATTGTCTGGCCAAATATATCAATAGTACCTAGGCTGGGAAACACTGCCCCATGGAAAAGCTTGTCTGCCTTCTTCTGATTCCTGAAATGCAAGCAATCGGGTCTTCCTTCCTAAAGCGGCTCCTTCTTGAAATGTCTCTGATGCCTTTTCTCCCTACCTAAGCCCTCAATGGCTTTGGGACTCCTTCTTAACCTTTATCACCTCTCCCACCCCATCCCCAACATAGTTCCTTACATCCTACCATATTCCTCTGTAATATTTTCCCGCCAACCTTCTCTCCTTCATCCTCGCTGTCTTTGATCCATATCAGGGCCTCATCTCTCTGTAATTCTCATAACCCACTCCTAGTGGGCCTCCAGTTCTCTCTCACTTCAACCCTCCCTCTCTAGCACTGCTAGATTCATCAACAAGAAAACAGTCCCTGACAACATCACTGTCCTGCTCAGAAAGCTGCAGTGGCTACCCCATTGTCTATAAGAGGAAAAGTCCAAATTCCTTCATAAATGAGTCCCAGCCCATTTTTGTAGCCTTATCAACCACAACTCTGCAATGGTCCCCCACAGCATAGCCTAAGTTCCCCTCACCTTCCTCATGCTTTGCTGCTGCTGTGGCTTTGCTCACACTGGGCCTTCCACCTGAACTACCTTTGTCCATCATCTCCTCCCTTTCTGCCAAGCATCTTCTCAAATGTCAGATCCATCATGGATCTTTTGCTGGTGGCTCCATTTAAAAGGTATCTCCTTGGAAGCTCAACCTCATAAATGTGCTAGCAGCACTTCTAATTTTTGTTTCATATTCTTCTAGGGGAGCAGGGCGTAACTGGAGAACGCACATTTCTTTAGTGTAAGTTTTGTGTCTGATTCTTCTTTATAATCGTCCATATCACTTAATAAAATCTTTAATCGGAACTAGTTGTTGAGTGAATAAGCAAATAAGCAATTAAAAATAGATTACTATTTCAGAATATTTTCAGGTATATTTTCTCATTTAATTCTCAAAATAATCTTGTGAGATAAAAATCATTATCCGATCCTGGGCAACATGGTGAAACCCCATCTCCACAAAAAATACAAAAGTTAACCAGGCATGGTGACATGCCCTTTTAGTCCCAGATACTTGGGAGGCAGAGGTGGGAGGATCATCAGATCTTGTGAGCCAAGATCACGCCACTGCACTCCTGCCTGAGTGACAGAGCCAGACCCTATCTCAAAAATAAATAAATAAATAAATAAATAAATAAATAAATAAATAAATAAAATCATTATCCTGAAGAGAATCTTGAGAGTCAGAGGGATAGTGATTGAGGGGGAAAATGAAACTAAGATATTTGAAATCCCAGGCCCAGTGCCTACCACCTTATATGTCTATTTAATCTTCACAGCAATCGTGCAAGGCCAGTAATACTAATGCAGTTTTGAAAATGAGGATATTGAAATTCAGGGTGGTTAAGCAATTTGCCTGCAATCACACAGCAGGTGAGTCTTGGAGTCATGGATTTATAATCCGTCCAACTGCAAAACTTCAGCTCTTTTTGGTCTGGTGCAACAACTAAGTGGTATATCAGGACTAAGGCCTGGATCTTCTAGCTCCAAGTCTAATGACCTATTATGCTTTAGCAGAGAATGAATATAATTTCTAGAGGACAAAGAAAGCAAAATCATCACAGGATGAAATCAAAGGAGAAAAGCTAATAAGAAATGGGAGTATTCAGTGTCTCTGTGAGTGAGTGTGTGTGTGTGTGCATGTGTGCATGCATGCACTGGGACGGGGGAGGGGCATCTATCTGCTTTCAGCCCAAATGTTCTAAGATGAATGGGAAATGCCAAAAAATTGTTAGGTTTGCATATGTGGATTCCACCTTAATTGTAGCATTTTGTTATCAAAGATAGATAGTTACAAAATACCAAGCAGAACAGACATGGAGATGGCAATTCATTTTGAAAACACATTGCCTGTCTTAGGGAAACACTTTTCACCATCTAAGCCAGCCTGTGAGTTATGACCTCAGAAAGGAACACGTCCTGTGTTGGCTCAGACTGCTCCCACAGGGTGACATCCAGATCTGTGCTCTCTGCAAAGCTTTTAGAAGCTCTGTGCCACATTCCCCCATGCTGGCCCTGCGTTTGCCCAATCCAAATAGGAGATCTAAATTCTGCAAATCTAGTGCAAATGGAGGCAATGTGCTGGAGTGGAAAAAACACAGCCTTAGATCAGAAAGTGCCACTAACCAGTTATTGCCTCCTAGCCTTAGTTTCTTCGTCTGTAAAATGGATAAAACAATACCTATCTAACAGGATAGGATCAAGCACCAAATTAGGATATTTAATCTAAAGATATTTAAATATCTAAAATGAAAGTATGTAAACACTAAATGAAGAAATCTGTTCACAACTGGGCATTTTGAGCAGCTGTTGCTGCTTTTTTCAAACAATGCACCCCGTTCTCACAATCTATTTTTCCCCATTCATATGCATGAGAGCTTTCATTTAAGTACCAAGAAAGGAGAAAGTGGAAGAAAGGAGGGATCTGGCTAAGAGACTATTGGAGGGAGGATGTGAGAAATCTGTGTGCTGGTTCCTTGGACTGATTGTGAGTCCCTCTGGCAGGACAATGCAACCAGCAGAAGCTGATAGAATGACTCCAACTGTAGATCCAGGTGGCAACATGGTAGAAAGGCCCCTTCTACCCAAGTTCCAGTATCATTATGGCATCTAAAGTGTTGAAAACTTTGAGAGCAACTCAAAGTAGCAACTTCAACGTGGACGTGGCCAATCTCACCATAGTCATAGAAGACATAAAGTTTCACTGTGCAGCTAACTGATTGGTCAACATGAATGGCTGAACATACAGTTTTGTGGGTTTGCCTCAGGTATGTCTCTGGGGGCTGTGTATGTATGTGTATATGTGTGGGTGGGTGTATGGGTATAC